GCGATTTTGCCGGGTGCCTTCAGATGTCCCAGTCTGCTGCTGGCTACTGCAGCCAATGGCTCTGTGTGTGTAGAGAGGAAGGGGAAGAAATTTACAAAAGAATGGGAGACAGTAAAGAAGAAGAAAAAAAAATGTGGAGGAACTGTCTACCTGCCTAGGAGTCTGGTTGGATCCTGTACTGGGGGATCTGAATGGGAGTCCATGGGGGCAGTGTGTCCCCTTGCTCGCCAGGTGCCTTCAGATGTACCAGGGTGCTGCTGGCTACTGCCGCCCATGGGGGAGTCGGGTCTGGGTAGATCCTGAACTGGGGGATCTGGATGGGAGTCCATGGGGGCAGTGTGCCCCCTTGCTCTCCAGGTGCCTTCAGATGTACCAGGCTGCTGCTGGCTACTGCCCCATTGTTTTAAATTTTAAAGAAGTGTTTTGTGATCTATTATGTGGTCAGTCTTCAAAAATATTCCATGTGTCACTGAGGAAAATGTGTATTTTGATGTTTTGGCAAAATGTTCTGTAACTCTTGGCTAGTTGATTTGGTTTTTGGTATCATTTATCTTTTGTGTTTGTTTATTTATTTATTTTTTTTGTCTAAATGATATCTCCAGGGGTGACAGTAGGGTCCATACGAATTAGTGTGTTACAATCAGTCTCTGTTCATATCTAGCTGTCTTTGTTCCTGATGTTGAATGCATAAAGATTTATGATTTTTATATCTTCTTGGTAAACCAGTCTTCTTAATATGGTGTAGCCTCTGACTCTTTTTACACTTTTTAAAACGTTTTTAAAATAGGGTGCATGCACTCACCATAAGGAGAGAAAAGAAAAGTGAAAAATCATCCCCTTGTGGGGGGATGGCTACACTTCAATCCCTTCTCCTTCACTCTCCTCTCAGGATTTCAGCATGCACATGAACCTGGTGTGATTTTCAAGCCTCCAAGTCTGGGACTCAAATTGTACAGTCAGAGATTTGATATCTAGCTGTCTTCACCTCAATGCACTGCCTAGAGTGTGCCCACTCACTCTCTTACCCTTTCTTTCTCTCTCTCTCTCTCTGTTTAATTTTAGTTATTATTATTATTATTATTATTATTATTATTATTATTTAATTTGCTATAGGGCACACACTCTCACCAGGCAGTCAGTAAGAGGTTGCATAAAGTCAGCCAACAGGTCCAGCTCCAGAACTCAAGCCATGGAGTATTTCATATGTGGTATTTCAGCCCCTTAACCACCACAATACCTGCCAGTCCCTCTGCCCCCATATATTTTTTAATATCTCTTTTTTATTTCAATTGCCTAGTACCTCACATATATGGCTCAGTTATTGTGGTAGAACATTCTTATCCTTCAATATTTCTCTATTAACTGTGATACTGTCATTTACAACAAGATATATGCATATTATGTTAAAAAACAACATCCTAAATCATCTGTTATTGAGGACATTTAATATAAATCAGTATTTCTAAATATATCCTCTGTGAATGGAACACAGAATTTCATTTGGTAGAACTGTGAATATTATAAAATATATTAGCATTGAATCTTTTTTTAAGAATTTCTAGAATGGTAAAAATTTAGGGCAGCACATGATATGGAAGTTAAGGTAGCTGAATCCCACATGGCCAATGTCATGGTTTGATTCCTCAGCCTAGTAGCTTGAGAACCACAGTAGGCGCATGTACATCCATAGCCTAAATCCTGAAAGAAGGAAGAAATGTGGAGGGCAAATTGTGTCATGAACATTCCCCAATGGGGGTTATTTTTTATTTTCCATCTGCACTCCTCAACAAACACATGAGCAAATTTTTAAACAGTTTTTTCCTAGGTTTTCATGATATGATTCTGTTTAGCTTTAAATATTAGTGATTTGTTTTTTGTTTTATTTTGTTTTGATTCTGTCCTTTTTTTAGCTGCCTTAACCTCCATGCACCTCCTAGCGTATGCTCATTCTCTCTCATGTTCTCTCTCTATATATATTTAATTTTAGTTATTATTATTATTTAATTTGCTATAGGGCACACACTCTCACAAAGCAGTGGGTGAGAGGTTTCATAAAGCCAGATACCAGGTCCAGCTTCAGAACTCAAGCCATGGTCAGATATGTGGTATTTCAGCCCCTTAACCACCACACTGCCTGCCAGTCCCTCTGTCCCCATATATTTTTAATATCTTTTTTTATTTCAATTGACTAGTACCTCACATATATGGCCTAGGTCCACTTTCATTGATTAGAATAGCTTCAGTTACCACTTGAATTTCTGCTGCTTCCTAAATATTTGACTACTGAAACATCAAAGATGATGTACCCAAGATTCCTCTGTCTACTGCTCAGTTTTTTCCAATTTTTAATTTTTAGCACCCATATTTATATGCCTGCTTAAACAGAAAGAGTTCAGTTAACTTTCTCTTTGGTTTCAATGCCAAACAAATTAGTACCAATATTGTTTCTGCTTTTTTTTTTTTGGAAGAATTTTCTATTTGATATTCTTATTTCTCTATTGCCTGATATAGGTGGTCAGTTCTCAACTTGATTTTAACCCTGTTATATCTCTTAAAGTTATCTTCAGACTACAATCTGTGGATAGCTGTTAAAACTGCAAATCTGGTTATATTATATGTCACTTCTTTTGGCCTCTTATTTATGTTTTGTGCTTTAGTGAATAGGTGATATTCATCTTTATGTGGACACTGTCAGTATTTCTGAATGCACAACAGTCATATAAAGGTGCATATAGATATACTTCCACCTATGGTTAATTAACAGTATGCACTTGAAATACTGGAATTAGGTTAAGTATTTAAATACAAAATCACTTTGTAATCAGTTCTTTTAACACCTTTACTGCGTTTTTCTTTTACCACAGACCAGGAATACTTAACCTAGATGTACTCTTTGTACTTTTACTAGTATTAGAAATATACTATCTGTTTTCATGGGAAGACTGCTTTACGAATGTTTTCATAAGAACATTTACTTCGATGTTCTTAATGTCTTTGACTCAAGCACAACTTGATAATACAGAAAAAGAAAAAAAAAACTTTAGTTTTTATTAGACTCGTTACCATAAACTTGTGTCAAAGTTAGTTAATCTAACACATTACTCCAGATATGTATTTAATACTTACATGTTTGTATGAGATAATAAGCACCTTGACATAACAGAATATTTATTATGCTTTCATCCCTAGCAGGAAAAATATTTGGAGATCTATGAGGGAATACTTGTAATATTTTTAGTGATGAATATGTTAGCATAGAGCTAGAATGTTTTTACTTCATTTTTTTCTCCCTTTGCAAAGAGTTCACAGACATACAGAGACAAACATACAGAGAAAGTAAATTTTCCATATTATGCTGTTTCCTAAGGCTGATAAAATTAAATGTATTTTTACAGGAGTTCATTTCATTTGAGGATGTTGCTATGGACTTTACCTGGGAGGAGTGGCAGGGCCTCAAAGATGCTCAGAAGATTCTATACAAGGATGTGATGCTGGAGACCTACAGAAACCTGGTGTTTTTGGGTTAGTGGAACATATAGCTCCCTAAAGTAATTACTTTCTCCTTTTGTAGTAAATGTTCAAGAGTTTCATAATGTTTATTGCTATTTATAAGTGAGATTTCATTCTGTGGTTAATATATTTGGCACTCTTCTTTAACAAAAATGCCCATATCAGCCCCTTTATTGCAGTTGATAAAACTGAGTTGTTGTTACTCTTCAAATAGCTTACATGAATGATTTGGCAAAAGTACACACTGCTTTTCATTAACAGGACACTGCATTGCCAAACCTGCAGTCATCTTGAAGTTGGAGCAAGAAGGAGAGCCATGGACATTAGGAGAACAACTCAATCAGAGCCTTGCAGGTTTGACAATACATACTTGTCAGGGACCAGTGTAACGCATATTCTTTTAAACAGCTTGTATTTTATTAAGACAGCTTGTATTTTATTATGAGGGAATAAAAGTGAGTAGTGGTAAGGTTAAAAAAAAGAAATGTTTTACTGGGATAAGAGTATGAAAAAATGAGTATATTATTTTTTAAATAGTCCTAAGGGAAGACATGTTTAGGGTGATTAGTATGTTTTTATTATATACATGTCCTTTCTAAGTAGCATTTCTACTTAAGTGACAAGACTTTTGGCTTCTGCAAATAGATGATCTAGAAAACTGTTCTCATTAGCAAAGAAACATTACACAGTACCCACTGTTATAAGAAAAAATAGAACAGGGAAAACAAATGACAGATGGAAATGTTTCAGTGTAAAATTACAACAAGACAGATGGTAGATATTTTGAATATTTTTAAAGGTGTTAAAGGAAAGGGAAACAAAGGAGCAAAATAAAACATTTCATTTTTAAAAAATATTAATGTAAATTGTTTCCATAATTTATTAAGAATTCAAAAATATATATATTTCTTATTATAGATCAGTACCAATATTAGAAATATACATGAGCAGTGTAGAAGAAATTTATAGATATTATTTATGAAAATGGTTGTCTTTTTCTGACCAAGGACGATTGATATGCGGGAGACTACTTGTAAATAGAATGAATATGGGAAAGGCTGTAGTAAGAACAGTTCTTGTTGCCCAGTATATAGATCAGATGTGGAAGAAAGCATTTATAAAATGCCTAACTGTCTCATTGTGCAGATGATACAGTACATGCATACTATAAATGTAGAAAATGTGAGAAATTGTTTTAAAAATCATTTTTACAGTACATTTTACACATAGAGTGGAAGATTCCTATCCATGTAATGAATAAGAGAAATCCTTATTGCAGAAGTAAAATCTAGCTTTTTATCAGAGAATTCAGACAAGGAAGACACCCATTAGACATAATAAACATCAAAAAGCCCTTTTTATTTTATTTATTTTTTATTTTTATTTATTTTTTTGAGAGTTTTTTTTTCACTATAGGGTGCCTACGCTTGCCAGAGAGACAGAGAGAGACAGAGAGACAGAAAGTGAGAAGTCACTCCCCCAGAGGGGATGGCCACGCCGCAATCCCTTCTTCTCCATTCTCCTCTCAGGATTGTGGGCACGCATGCACACGCACCCGGCGTGGGTTTTAAGCCACCGGGTCTGGGATGCTAACCGCGGTTGACTACGTGGGAGTCCAGCGACATAGCCATTACCCTTACTGCTGGTTCCCAAAATTATGGAGTACCACAGAAATCACAGAGAAGTAAAACCTTATGATGTAGACGAATTATGATCACTTTCAACTGTTGTTATACATGAGACAACTCTTATTGTAGAGAAAAAGCGTAGATAAAACAATATAGGAATTTATTGTCTCTGAACACACCCTTTACTGACCAACTGAAAACTTATACAGGAGAGAAACCCTATGAATGTAAACAACGTAAGAAAATGTTTTCCCAGAATTCAGACCTCACTGTACATCAGAGGAGTCACACAGGAGAGAAACCCTATGAATGTAAACAACGTAAGAAAATGTTTTCCCAGAATTCAGACCTCACTGTACATCAGAGGAGTCACACAGGAGAGAAACCCTATGAATGTAAACAACGTAAGAAAATGTTTTCCCAGAATTCAGACCTCACTGTACATCAGAGGAGTCACACAGGAGAGAAACCCTATGAATGTAAACAACGTAAGAAAATGTTTTCCCAGAATTCAGACCTCACTGTACATCAGAGGAGTCACACAGGAGAGAAACCCTATGAATGTAAACAACGTAAGAAAATGTTTTCCCAGAATTCAGACCTCACTGTACATCAGAGGAGTCACACAGGAGAGAAACCCTATGAATGTAAACAACGTAAGAAAATGTTTTCCCAGAATTCAGACCTCACTGTACATCAGAGGAGTCACACAGGAGAGAAACCCTATGAATGTAAACAACGTAAGAAAATGTTTTCCCAGAATTCAGACCTCACTGTACATCAGAGGAGTCACACAGGAGAGAAACCCTATGAATGTAAACAACGTAAGAAAATGTTTTCCCAGAATTCAGACCTCACTGTACATCAGAGGAGTCACACAGGAGAGAAACCCTATGAATGTGAACAATGTAGGAAAATGTTCTCCCATAAGTCAGCTCTCACTCAGCACTGGAGAAGTCACATAGGAGAGAAACCTTATGAATGTGAACACTGTAGGAAAACGTTCTCCTGCAAGTCAGACTTCACTCTGCATAGGAGAATACACAGAGAGAAACCATATGAATGTGAACACTGTGGGAAAGCATTCTCTAGCAAAGTACGCCTCACTGCACATAAGAGAACTCTCACAGGAGAGAAACTATGAATGTGAAAAGTGTAGGAAAATGTTCTCCTGCACCTCACACTTCACTGCATAGGAGAACTCACACAAGAGAGACCCTATGAATGCAAATGATGTGGTAAAGCATTCTCCAGCAAGGGACACTTCATGGTACATAAGAAAAGTCTCACAGGAGACAAGCCTTATCAATGTGAACAATGTAAGAAAATGTTTTCCCAAAAATCACACCTGACTTTGCATCAGAGAACTCATACAGCAGATTAATCCCATGAATGTCAACAGTATGGGAAAACTTTCTCATGGAAGTCACAGTTCACTGCACATCAGAGAACTCATACAGGAGAGTAATCCTATGAATGAGAATGATGTGAGGAAACATTCTCCAGCAAAGGATACCTCCTTTAACATAAGAAAACTCACAGGAGAGAAGCACTATGTATGTCAACAATGTAAAAAAACTACCACAAGTCAGCACTTTTTATATATTGGAAAACTCACTTAGGAAAGAAACCAGATGAATCCAAACAATGTAGGAAAACATTCTCCAGCAAGGAATACTTCACTATACATCAGAGAACTAACTCAGGAAAGCATCCCTATAAATGTAAACAGTGTGGAAAAACATACTCCTGGAAGTCACAACTCATCAATCAGTGGAAAACTCACACAGGATATCCCCTACGAATATGAAAGTTTTGGTAAAACATCTGGAAGTCAGCACTCAATGTGTATCAAAGAACTCACACTGGAGAGAAACACTATGACAATAGTATAGGGAACATTTTACTGGAAAGAAGGGCTCATTTTACATCAGAGGACTCAAATAGAAGTGAAACCTTATTAATGGCAAGAATATAGGAAATTTTTCTTTTGGAAACTATATTTTAGTAAGCATCTGAAAACTCACACTGGGGAGAAACTTCATGAATGTAGGGATTATAGAAAATCTTTCATTTGTAAGTCAGCCCTCAGTGTACATCAGAAAATTCACAAAAGAAAAACCCTGTAAACATCAATGTACCAATAGGACATCTTCCATCTAATACAAGTCAACCCTTACTGTATATCAGAGAATGCAAGAGTAAGTCCTATAAATGGGGATGATGTACAAAATGTTTTCCGAGTAGTCATTCCATACTCTACATTAGAGCACTAACAAAGAAGAGAAACTGGAAGTGTGAAAAGTGTAGTAAAACCTCCTGTAAAAAAGGAGTTATCTTGTAACACTGACTGGATTGGTTGCATAGTAATGTGAATATACTGCACAGTAATAAATTGCATATACTTCGACATGGTTAAAATGTGTCAAACTTTTGACTTGATCAAACTTTAGACAGGCCTCTCAGTATTTTACTTTCCTCTGTGTACGTCCTTGTAAAATCTCTTTTAGCAAAGAACCCTGTTAAGGTAGTTTCCAAGAAGCTCAACTCTAAATATCATATCATTTAAAATAAGTGATTAGGTTTCTTATCTTTCAGTACCTCTATGGTGATGTCTGATCACCCTGTCTGTGTTCAGTAAGAATCCTGTTATTTCAGTTTATCCATAATCTCTCATTTCTCTAATGTTTCCTTAGTAATTTTCTATCTGATGATCCCCCCAGGCTCCTCAGTTGTTAATTTCCGCTGTTCACACGTTTTGAAGTTGAGTCCAATTCTCTCTTCCCCACTGCAAACTCCCTTTTCAATGGACCATATTCTTACCATGATGGTCCAAAGTAAAGCTTTTCTTATCCCAGTTTAACCAGTGTCATTGAGTCAATTTCTTCAAATAGGCTTCAAATTTGGGGGGACTTTCTTCCACAATAAAAATAGTTATGGGTTGTTCAGAGTAGTAATAATAAGTGCAAAAAGTAGTGGTTGCTAGAGGCTAACTTAGGTGGGAGAACTTGAAAGATTTAACATTATTATATATTAATGATTATAGATTGTTCAGTTCTACCCAAATAAATGAAAAATAATAAATATACCAGTATATAAAATATATAATCTATTGTGCTATATATAGTGGCAAAATAATGAACAATGTTATTCCAGTAACAGTTTAATACAATTATGGCCCATCTATATTAAAGTAGGAAAAAAAAAATACTGACACCTTAGTATTAGCAGAATGTTCCCAGAATAAATTGAGTGTTCCTTGAAAGTGTGACTATTGTCACAGCAACTATTGTACGTCTGTCATTTTCTCTTTACCCTCACCATCTTCTGAGACTCCCCTTCTTTCAAATTTGTTCATTTTTGAAAAAGCTTTGAAAGCTTCTAAGAAAAGCCCAAGATGAGAGTGTTAGGGGAAGTGTCTGCCAAAACACATTTTATCCCAACATATTTTTCCATACTCTCAAACTTTTCTGAGAGACTAAATCATGCTTCATTAGTGTATCATTTTTAAGAGTTTTTTTCCATAGGGCACGTGTGTTGACCAGAACAGACAGAGAGACAGAAAGTAAGAAATCACTCCCTGGGGGAATGGCTATGCTGCAATCTCTTCTCCTCTATTCTCCTCTCGGGATCTTGGGCACACATGCATACATGCCTGGTGTGAGTTTATGCTGCCAGGTCTGGGACTCAAACCACAGTTCACTACATGGGAGTCCTGTGACATAGCCATTAAGCCAACCACTGGTCCCTAGTCCATTCTCCTCTCGGGATCTTGGGCACACATG